TTCCTACTACACATAACCATAAGCATAAATATAATGGGCCGGCATTGTAGCCGTAGACCCATGCACACAGTGAGGAAACTCACCTCGCACTGTTGAAGACTCGCTGAACTCTTCTGACGGCTAACCGGCACTTCTGAACCGTTGACCCTTCGGCTTCCCGAACTATCAATACCCAAAACAACATTTAGACCACAATAATCCAAAAGTCAACCCTGGTCAAACTTGGTCAAAGTCAACGGTCAAAGTCAACTTCCAGTTGAATTGACTCGCCGAGTTGTTCTACCAACTCGTCGAGTCCATACTCCTATAATTCATTACAACCCCCGTCTTAACTCGTCGAGTCTAGCAAGAACCCGACGGGTTCTCCTTCAACCATACAATTCGGGACCATCCTCAACCGACTCGCCGAGTTGTATGAACAACTCGTCGAGTCCACCTTCATAACTAAGGAGATTGCCTTGGACTCGCCGAGTTCCTCCTCGAACTCGTCGAGTATTATGATCTTCATGCCCAATATGGACCCGGACTGGTCGAGTCCTTCACCAACTCAACTCACTGATCTAACTCATAACCAGAGGGGATTTGGGTTTGCGACCCGACTCGCCGAGTCCATGAACCGACTCGCCGAGTCCATGAACCGACTCGTCGAGTCCGCTTTGTGACATCTCAATTCTATCGATTACAGTCCATTTTATTGCTTCCAACTCATAGATCTGGACTCTTAAGGCTAGCATTACACGTAAAGTTGCTAACTTTACGTGCATGCAAGGTGCTATGAAGCCATAGCTGGATAAAGCTAGCAACTCTGAGCTTCTAAAGCTCAAGAGTGCCTAGATCTGAAGCCCAATACTCGGATTAACCTTGGTAATGGCCCAAATATGGGAAAAATACAAGCTAGAAAGGGAATCTAGATGATTAACAGTCAAGGTATAAGCTTTATACCTTCAAATGATCTGAAATGCCACACCAACTCTGGATCTATAGCTCCTTCTTGCACCACTAAGAGTCTCCTTCCTTCTCCAAGCTTCAAATCACTCACAAAGGCAAGAAACTAGCTCAATAATCCACAAGGTTGAGTAGGCTTTCGAGAGTAGGTGAGGGGAGTGATGGAGGCTGGGGTGGAGGCCTGAAATGTTGCTTAAATAGGGCACCAAGTCCCGAAATTAGGGTTTCCAAACCCAGACCAGACTCGCCGAGTCAGTCTCCCCGACTCGTCGAGTCGGTCACTTAATCCGCGACACGGGACACGCTCTGACTCGTCGAGTTCTTCCTTAGACTCGACGAGTTGACCCCTTTGACTTAGGGTTTTTTCTTTCCTTTCTGGGTCTTCTGGATTTCGGGTGTTACAACTCTCCCCCACTTAAACTAGACTTCGTCCTCGAAGTCCGTCACAGCCAACAATCTTGCAATCTACTCACAACATTTCTGCTCGGTGAATACTTCTTCTACTGAACCCGATCCTCGAGGGATCACTTTTCCTTGAGCTTCCGCCCGGTCATTCCGCCCAAACTAATCCTTGAGGGTAAGAACCACGAGAGCACTCTGCTCACCAACAATCCTAAGAACACGACTCTTTCCCAACTGATAATCCTTTCAGTACTCCTCGAGTACTTATGTTGGGCATCCTAGGGGTTCACCCTTTTCCCTTGCGCGTTCACTGGCCTTCCCAATGCAAACTTCGCAAAAACAATGACCTTTACTTCCTCTGTGAAGGACATACCCTTCGTTGAACCTACCTTTCCAGCCACTCCCAGTGTTGGTCACTTCGCTGATACATACTAAGTGCTTCCTCTTTCTATATACTGATGTTGGAAAGCCCTCCCAACGGATGGATCAGATAATCCTTCGAGTAATAGATTCATCCCTGCAACGGTTAGACTCATACGAGAGCTGCGCAATAGAGTCAAATCACTCACTCTGAGATTATTTAATGCCGCTACTAGTAGCCTAGCACCTCTCAGTCAACCAACTACTTCCACTCACGGATCCTCTTATTGATGTCCCTGTCCGAAGATTCTGTTGTATCTGTCCGAAGATTCTGCTGTCTCTGATCTGCTCTCCGGACGAACCGAGACCACCCCAGTCCCAACTAATCTGCCCTGATCTTGACCACCGGACTCCTACCGGTTACTGAACTCAAACTCCATCTCTCTAGCGACTTCCGAAGAAAACTTCGGCTAACTAAAACTGCACTGTCTACCTTGCCACTCTGGCTCTCTAATTCCTGGGATTCTCGATTCCCTATCTTGACTCTAAAGTCTCTACCAGGTTCCACTTGTGCTGCTAAAATCTCACGGGCCTCGCCCACGGGTCTCACCCAAACTAGATCTAGAGCGGTCTCTCCCTCTAGTTTCACCTGTACTACTACTAATATACGGGCCTCACCCACAGGTCTCACCTAACTGTATCTTGGAGTGGCCCCTCCCTCAGGTCTCACCTATCTAGGGCTATGCACGCCTGCCTCCACACTAAATCTCAACGAACTATGTTTACCTGATCTTGACCACACTAACTAGGAGATATGGGCCTCGCCCACACTCCGCTAACTAGGAGATATGGGCCCTCGCCCACACTCCTCTAACTGGCTACTAACAAATGTTGCGGCTATCCCGCAGTCTTACCACACTCCCCATGCTGTCTCTATACCGACTACTAATCCGAAAGCATCCCATGCCGGACATTCACTCAATCCGCATCTTGACTCACTCGAGTCCTGCCGGCGATCCTCCAACCTGGTTTTCCGAACCAGCTATCGCCCATCGTGATTACTATGGTCATCCCGTAGCCCCACTACACTTCCCGTACTGTCTACCTGCTGGTGAATGCTACCGCTGTCCCGTAGTCTTACACCCTGGCTAAAATCACGTCCTGCCGAGAAAATCTTCAACCTGGTTTCCCTAAACCAATCATCTACTGATCGCTATTACACGCGCTCAACACTGGGAAGTTTCCCAAACTCCCAACTCACGCGTTTCTCATCCGAATAGCCACTCAGACTATTACCCTGCTCAATAGAGTTGCGAACTCATTCCAACACCTTACTTACTTCTGATCCTGAATACTTGGAGGGCTCTCCCCCACTTTGACTCAACTAGCTCCTTGCAGTTTTCTGTCTGGGAAGGATTCCTAATCCTTCTTACCATTCCATAATCGTTCTGCTAAAAACTGAGGTTTACCGCTGCCAGTGCTCCAAAGCTAACCGATACCATGACGCCACTATCCTTGAAAGCTGGCGAAATACTTCTAGAGTCCGAATTTCACGCTTGCTACAACGACCACATCCTGAGTGACCTGCTCTAAAAGGGGTACAACTACAGACTACTACTCTAAACCCATGGTATGCACATGGCATATAACTCAATCATAAGCAAGAAACAGAATCCAAAGTACAATCACTAATACGGATGCAGTACCATAGCAATTAAATCATAAATAAAACTGTCAAGCAGCTAAACGATATGCACCTGCCACATCTGGGGCTGCTCGCATGTCATCTAAAACCAACTGGTACGCCCTGCTTCGTGCCGTAGGCGCCTCTGCTCGGCCCTACCGACCGTCGGTGATCCTCAAAGTCGCAGGGGCAGGTGCTATCACCTGTCCTGCTGAAAGTAAACTCGGACACTGGGCCTTCTTGTGACCCCTCTGACTACAATGAAAACATATCAGATTTGATCCCTGAGTGGTGGTGGCTGTACAATCTCTACTAAAATGACCAGTCCGTCTGCACTTGAAGCAGCCAGAATCACCACCACTACCGCTCATGCACGCACCCTCATGCATCCTGCCACACTTGCCACAGCGGCTGCGACTCTGGAAATCCCTCGATCTCGAATCTGACCCCTTGGGTCTCTTGCCTGAACTTGTGGCTACCTGAATCTCATCTGGTTTCCTCTTCCTCTCTAACTCCAAATCAATCTCTCTCTCCCTGGCACAAGCAATCATATCCTCCAGTGTCTTGCAGCTGGACCTACTCACAAACTGCCTGATGTCACATCTCAGCATCTCGTGATACCGAGCCTTCTTCATCTCCTCGTCCGCCACATACTGCGGCACGAGAAGGGCTCTCTCTCTGAACTTCGCGGTGATCTCCGCCACAGTCTCAGTCGTCTGCTTCAAATCCTGAAACTCTCGTGCTGGCTGCTGCACCTCGATCACTGGTGCAAACTCGGCCCTGAACCTAGCCGAGAAATCAGTCCATGTCATCGCGTCCAACGCGACATCATCTCCAATGGCGTGTCCAACCTCCTCCCACTAATCCCGTGCTCTGTCCTTCAGAAGACAGGAGGCAAGTCGGACCCTGTCCCCCTCGGGACATTGGCTCGTACGAAAGGCGTTGGCAACATCGGCCAACCACCTGCTGCTAGCGATGGGGTCCCTAGCCCCATGGTAATCTGGTGCGCCACAAGCTCTAAACTCTCGGAATGTCAAAGTACGCGCTCCCATCATGGCCACCATCTCTGCGCGGAAGGCTCCCAGCCTCTCATCCAATATCTCCAGTATGCCCTCCTTGACCGTGCCAAAGATGACAGGAGTCTGATCTAGAATGCTGCGCGTAACCTCGGCTGATACAAACTCCCTCATCCACTCCTTGAGCTGCTCGGTCCCTGAACCCGAGCCTGATCCCTCTCCGGCGCCTGATCCGCCAACTGGTCTACCCCGAAGTGTCACCATTCTGCAACATATCATAACTATCATTAACATACACATATTTACCGAGCGATCACACTCACACTACAAGTTCCCCGGTTTCATCTCAGCCCTTCTTGAATCGAGTACAGATCCTCTGCTTTCAGTAGTATGGGCCCCTACTACCTTCCACATCTATCCGTACTTTCCTCAAGAATTGCCTCGACTACACCAAGTCCCTTTCACTGCTACTAACACTGCTCCCAGCACTACTCTCATCCTAGGTTTGCCCTAGGGTAACCTCCAACTCACTATCTGCCATCAGCTGCATAGGAGGAGGGTAGCGACAGCAGAAAGAAGAAGGAAGGTGAAGAATGGTAGTAATAGGGGTAAAAGGTGTGGATAGAGAGAGAGAGAGGGGGTCATCTCTTTTTTTTAATGAATAAAATATAAAATTAAGTATTAAAAATATAAAAATAAAAATAAAAGGGTATTTTAAACTTTTTAATTTTCTAAGGGAACTTTACAAACAAACTAGGACCATACAACCAAAAAATTGAGATTTAGACTATACTTCAGAAAAAAAAAAAAATCTATATATACCATAGGACTTAATTTACAATCTTGTCAATTATTTTTGATAACTTAGATAGCTTCCTTATTAAAAACTCCTCAAATTGACGAATTGACCAATATACCCCAATCTAATAACCTTATACATCGACATAAATCATAAAAAAAAAAGCCTCCATCGCTGCTTCTGTTGTCGCTCGTTGCCTCGCAACTGCGCCCTCCCCTGCTCACCGTCGTTACCATCTCCTCCCCTGTGAAGCCACCGGCCGGAGACAAGGCGCACCCGACAGCAACACCGGAGACCTTCGACCCAGGTTCGTTTTTTGTTCACAACAAGTTTCGTTGTTTGTTTAATTTTTCCTGCTGTCGATTTTTTTCCCAGCTTTCATTCTTCCTTCTTTTCTGTTAGTTTATTTTGTTGGTTGTATCAATTGATGCATAACAATCTCATAAAAGAGCTGTAAAATAGAAACATTTGTAATGAAAATAGTTTACCTTTGAATGTGAAATGAGAATTTATTTTGAATGAAATACCGAGGAGTTTGAAGGATTACAAAGTCCAATTGCTCTCTTCTTCTTCTTCAAGAGCTTTCTCTTTCTGTTCCAACAGTTTCTCTGGGACACTCGACACGACCCGATTTTGAAATTCTCCACCAGCTACGCAATTCCCTTCAGACTTGTGGGTTGTAAATTTGCAACTTGATTTTTTTCTGGATAAAAAAAACGATAGCAAGGTTTGAATTCGAAAATACAAATACATTTGTTTATTTAATGTTGGTTCTGTTTGATAAAAGAAACTAGACAGAATGTATAATAAGTAAGACTAACTCAAAAATTGGAGTAGTAGCTACAAACTAGGAACAACTTATTCACTGGAATGTTTCCTTATTCTATTTTAGATTCATATTCAATAGATTAGTTCTGATAAATTTGAGGGAGTAAAAGTAAAACGTTGCTGTGCTTTTGGATCCTAAAATTTTGAGTTTTGGGTACAAGTTTATTATTGCAAATTTTACATTTGAGGTTATTTATCAAATTAATTTTAGATCATACGTTGTACATTGGGAGCTGGGATTTCTACAAAGAGGGAATTCTAATCAATAATGGTGTTTTATTCATGTTATTATGGATATAAATATTTTAAGAAATCCTTTTGTGTTATCTTGCAGAAAGTACACAATGGATCAAAACTCGTTTACTTGGACAATGCTGCCACCTCACAGAAGCCTTCTGCTGTAATAGATGCTGTAAACAACTATTATAGATCATACAACTCTAATCATTTTGACACCCTATAGACATCTTTATCAAAAGTTTTAATCATATTTTTCAAAAAAAAAAATGTAATTTTAACCAATAAAAATACCTTAAAAGTTATATAGTGTGTCTAAATGGTAAAATGGGGTGTCCATTTAGTCAACCCCTTTAACCTTACTTACGCTATACATTGCTTATAATTATATAAGATGTTGATCACTTTGTTTGGGCACTTGTTGACACAATCGCTTTCTTCACCTCCTTTAACTAGATCTTTACATACGCTTTTATCCTTATTTTATTTTATAAATATTCAAATCTGTAAATTTATAGTTATGCTTTGGTAATCTATCCAACTATATCATATACCTAATATTCAATATATAGGGCTCATTTGAAAACGCATATAGAATTCGATACATCATTTATATAATTCATTGAACCAACTTCATTGTAAGTTCCACAAACCAATAATAAATTCGGTTTAAAGAACAATAATCTATCCGTCACATAGAATACCAACTCTATCATATCCTAAACTGTAATCTATTGCATTAGATTCAAAGTAAACGATATTATTTTATTTATATAATTTTAATAAAAAAATACATGTTTTACAATGAAATGTCATTATTAAATAACACGTTTTATAGTAAACAAACCAGCCAAAGTATATTATTTTAATTTATTCAAATTACATTCATCTTTGACTTCCTTTTCGGTTCATTGAACTGCTTCCACGAGGCAGCACTTGAGTTTATCAATGTGAGATATGAAATTTGTTGGGAATATACAAAACAAGTTAAGCACTTCGAACAAAACGATTAACGATTTCGGTAACACTCGCGGAATAAAAACTACTGAAAAATTGCAAACTAAATTGAACATGATATTTAAACGTGGTTCTGTCTACTCTGACCTACATCCACGGGCGGACGAGAGAGATGAGATTTTATTAACACCAAAGAAATTACAATCATATAAGGCTAAAAACTGCACTTGTAATCTGATCGCTCAGTGTAAGGTATCACTCGTATTTTAACTGCCGAAAATAAAATACAACCTCACTATTTCTTTTATGTGTATATATGATCGTTGTGTTGTGCTCTCTACTATTTCTACTTACAACACACATATATTTATATATATATATGTTGTGAGCCGTAACAATAATTCACTATAATGTGAAAGTGAATACCCACCATTTGACATTTGTAAATTGTCTGCCAAAGGAAGAAAATAGCCTCCTCGAAAATATGCATAGCTTGAAAATAATTCCTATGCATTTAATGTTGTTTTTCTACAGCCGAAACAAATTTCATTTTTCTCGTGAGTGACGTTTACCCAACATTTCAATTCAATTGTTAATTGCCAAGTTACATTTATGGCCCTTTAGCTCTTAGGAACTTGTCAATATGTTCATGACTCCATAAATCTTAACAATCTCCCACTTGGAGGCTTGAACAACTTAGTCTTTCTCTGCCATCCAAAACTTTGCAACGTTCCTTAATCACTCTCTCTCTCTCTCTCTCTCTCTCTCGTTCTCTACCATGCCTTTTTCTCAAACTTCTGAAAGGCCAGTTGAAGCCATACAAAGCTGCAGCATTTCAGTGGTAACCACCTTGGTGAACATATCTGCTGGATTCTTCGTTTCAAGGATTTTCTTCAGATTTAGAGTTCCATCATTAGTTAATTCTCTAAAATGGTACCTCATCTGAATGTGTTTCGTTCTACTATGAAACACTGGATTCTTTGCCAAGTAAACTGCACTCTGGTTGTCACAATGCAGTACACAATCCTCCTGTTGCATGCCAAGTTCTGATAGAAAGTTCTTTAACCATATAAGCTCTTTGGATGCTTCTGCAATAGCCATATACTCTGCTTCTGTGGTTGAGAGAGCAACACTCTTTTGTAATTTGGACATCCAACTGATTGATATACCTCCAATCGTGAACACATAACCTGTTGTGCTCTTTCCTGAATCCACACATCCACCCAAATCAGCATCGGCGAACCCTTCTAAGATCACACCCTTTCTTCTGAAACATAGGGTAACCTCAGATGTTCCTTTCAAGTAGCGTAGCAACCACTTTACTCCCTCCTAATGCTCTTTTCCTGGATTTGACATGAACCTGCTCACAACTCCCACTGCATGAGCAATGTCTGGTCTGGTGCATACCATAGCATACATCAAGCTACCAACTGCAGATGCGTAGGGAGCTTTAGTCATTTGTTCCTTGTCTTCTTCCGTCTTTGGGGATTGCTTCTTTGAGAGTCTCAACTGACTCCCAAAGGTGTACTTCTGTCTTTAGCATCTGCCATGCTGAACTTTTCTAAAACTTTCTTGATGTACTTAGCTTGTGAAAGTTTTAGTGTACCAATACCTCTGTTCCTGGCTATGCTCATGCCCAATATCTGCTTAGCAGCCCCTAGGTCCTTCATCTCGAACTCTTTGGACAACTGCTTCTTAAGCTTGTTGATCTCCTGCATGTCGGACCCAGCGATCAACATGTCATCAACATACAATAAAAGGATGATGTATGAGGAGTTGAATTTCTTCAAGTAACAACATTGATCCATTTCACATCTATTGTACCCACTCCTTTGCATGAAGCTATCAAACTTCAAGTACCACTGTCTTGGAGCTTGCTTCAATCCATACAGACTTTTCTTCAGTTTGCACACCAGATTTTCCTTACCAACTGTAGGAAAACTCTCTGTTTGGGATCTTCTTTCAGGTCACCATGGAGAAACGTTGTCTTCACATCTAGCTGCTCTAGATAGAGATCTTCAGAGGCAACAATACCCAAGACCATTCTGATTGTAGTCATCTTTACAACTGGATAAAATATCTCATTGTAATCAACTCCTCTCTTTTTGTTGAAACCCTTTGACTACCAGCCTTGCCTTGTATCGTTTGGTGCCATCAATCTCATATTTGACCCGAAACACCCATTTGTTCTGCAGTGCTTTCTTCCCTGCCGGGAGCTTGACCAAGGACCAAGTATGGTTCTTATCAAGTGAGCTCAACTCATCTTCCATAGCATTCTTCCAATGTATGGAATCTTTCATCCTTAAGGCCTCTAGATAAGACTTAGGTTCACCATTCTCAGTCAACAGCAAGTAATTAGCTGAAGGAGAATAGCTGACTGGAGGTCTTCGTACTCTAGTGGATCTACGGATAATAGGAGTTTCGGTTTATGCATCATCTGCAACCTCATCCTCTGAACTACTATCCACTGTGCTCCCACTATCTTCAGATACATCGGAGCTACCACTGCTTCCTGAACTTTCACCTATCTTTGGGAGTACTAATAGGTTTTACAACGTCATCATCTGAGATTTCTTCTAACTCAACTTGATCCTTCTTTTCTGGTTGCTTGTCACCATTGGAGCTCTTTGCAAGTTCATCCTTGAACACCACATCCCGACTTCTGATAACCTTCTTATTCTCATTATCCCAGAAGCGGTACCCCATGTCATCCAACCCGTAACCTATAAAGGTGTACTTCCTTGCCTTTGCCTCTAGCTTGTCTCTCTCCGAGCTTTAACTTTGACATACGAGACACAACCAAATACCTTCAAGTGTTTGAGCTAAATCTCTCGACCTTTCCATTCTTCTTCTGGAATCTTGAACCCTATGGGGACTGAGGGTCCTCTGTTGATTAAATATGCAACTGTGTTGACCGAATCTGCCCAGAACATCTTGGGTAAACCTGCATGTAGTCTCATGCTTTTAGCCCTCTCGTTCAATGTTCGGTTCATCCTTTCTGCTACTCCATTTTGCTGAGGTGTCTTCGGAACCGTCTTCTGCATTCTGATTCCTTGGTCAGCACAATAATCAACAAATTCTTTGCTACTATATTTGCCCCCATTGTCTGATCTGAAACACTTGATTTTCAAGTTTGTTTCATTCTCTACAATAGCTTTCCATTTCTTGAATGTGCTGAAAACTTCAGACTTATGCTTCAAGAAATAAACCCAAACTTTCCTTGTGCAGTCGTCAATGAAAGTAACGTAATATCGAGACCCTCCCACTGAAGATACTGAAGTGGACCATAAACATCTGAATGAACTAACTCCAACTTTCTGGACTTGGGCGGATGATCTATCTTTGTGAAAGTAACTTTCTTCTGTTTACCCAGAATACACGACTCACAGAAGTCAACTGTCACAGTCTTCAGATCTGGTATTCTTCCTTTGGAGGCTAGCATCTTCATTCCTTTCTCACTCATATGGCCAAGTCTTTAGTGTCATAGAGTGGATTCCCCAACTTCTTCAATAGCATGTGCTTCAGCATCAGAAACTTCCACCATATAAAGTGTACCCCGCTTCTGACGTCTAGCAACAACTAAGTTTCCTTTTGTCACTTTCCACTGATGATCACCAAATGTAACATGGTGACCTTCATCATCAAGCTGCCCCACAGGTATTAACATCCTCTTCAAGTCTGGAATGAACCTGACATTCTTCAAAGTCCACTTCGTACCCAAAGTTGTCTTGAGGACCACATCCCCAACTCCAGTAATATCCAGGCTCTTGTTATCTGCTAATCTAACTTTCCCTTTATACTGCTTGAAATTATGCATTACTTCTTTGGAATGACTAGCATGAAACGACACACCAGAATCCATGATCCAAGATTCAATTGAGTTTTCGACACAACAAGTGACCGCATCATCCTCAGAATCTGTTGCCATATTTACTTGCTTCCTGCCTTTGTCTGCCGAAGGCTTTAGGCATTGATTTCTGAAATGACCTTTCTCATTACAGTTCCAACAGGTAATATTTTTCCTGTTCTTCGACCGACCTCTCTTTCTTGACTTCGATCTTCCTCTACCACCACCTCCTCTGTTGGTCTTTCTTCCTCTATCTTTAGTACTTAGAAGACTACTGGAAGCTTCTCCGACACTCCTTCTGCACACATCCTCACCAAGGATTAAATCGCGAATACCTTCGAATGATAGTTTGGCACCTCCGGCTGAACTGCTAACAGCCGTCACTGTGTCGGACCAACTATCGGGTAACGATGATAATAGTAGCAACGCCATGACTTCATCTTCAAATCCAATATCAACATATATCAATCTTGATATGATTGAGTTGAATTCGTTAACGTGGTCTGTCACTGAGCTATCCTCCTTCATCTTCAAATTTACAAGTTGCCGGATCAAGAAAACCTTAT